AACAGAACCTATATATATATATATATATTAATGAAGATTTGAGGAGGAAGCGATGACCAACAATTAAAAGATAAGAATAGTGAAAACAAAATGACTTCATCGCCAAATAGGCTCTTCCCTAAACAAATCCATTGAAAAATGGAGTGGGCCAAGGAAGATAATTACCTTCATTTTAGGCTCGGAGAGGTTAATTGGCCCACTTAAGTAAGGCCCAATCACACTTCTTGCATGTATTTGCTTTGGGAGGGTGAAGCTTTACTGCCGTTTCTATATTCCAATTATATTATGAAAATATTTTTCTAAGAGTTATTTTGTTCGCTAGAAAAAAAGATTTTAAAAAAGAATAAATTGCTTTCGCACATTTTGAATACTTTTGAAAATAATTGTAAGGTTTAAAATCTCTTTAATTTTAAGTATATATATTTACAAAAATAATGAAATATGGTAAGCTTATCATTATAAAGAATACATATTTTCTAACTAAAAAACAGCCACAAAGCCCTTAAAAAAGGCTCTATCTACCGCTGCGTGTAGCTTTATTGTTATCACGTGAAGACCCAATACCGAGTTATACCAAGCTATACCGAGCAATACCGAGTTATACAAAAGTTGTACCGAGTTTTTCCTAGGAAAAACTCGGTACAACTCGGTATAGCTCGGTATAACTCGGTATTGGTCTTCACAGAGCGGTATTCCTCGTTATTATCAAATAATACCTAGCAATACCGAGTTTTTTGGCGGGATTTTGCCTCCGACCGGACGTTCCTCTACGTCCTTACACCGGACCTAATAAAAGTTCATAAATTTAGGCTAAAAGCCTAAAAGCTCATTGGTCTCTTGGCCTTTATTAACAATCATGAATAGTATTTTTATGTTTAAATTGTATTAAAATTTTGGCCGGCGAGCTCAAAAGGTACCAGAATATATTAACCTATCAGCATTAACCTAATAGGCCCATAATATATTAATTTAATAGATAAAATGGTAATCAACAAAATATGCCAAATTTGGCCAAAGCCTTCACCATCATTGACTAAATGAATTGGCTAAGGTGGCTAAGGTTCCTTTGTGACATTTTTATTACTATTCTTTTAAATAATTTTAAATAAAAAAAATTAATTCAAAAAATTTCGTATTAAAAAAATTGCTTTAAAAATTTTCCAAACGAAACTTAACTGCTTTTTAATAAATTTTTTTCGAAACAGAGTTGCTAAAATGACTGACACATCCTCCCTCTCAATTTGATAATGGATGATTATAAGAATTTTAGAAACAAATTTGACCTTCTATAAATGTGGCGGAGAACACTAAAAATACACCTAAAGATGATGATAATTGTTAGATGAAGTCAGTCAAATGATGGTGTGAAGGCGATGAAGGATGTAGTGAGGGTTGGATGATGTCAGTCGAATGATAGTGGATGTCACACCGCATAATCTAATTTTAAAAAATAATATTTTTTTTATCATTTAAAATAAACAACAAACAAGTATACATAACTTTTTATCAACATAAATATTAGTAAAAATAAAGCTATCGAACAAAACATTAATATACACATTTGTATTGATTCCAAAAATTATGCACACTACTCAGGATTTATGAAATCACATCAAAAAATTTTTGTCATAAGTACAAAAGAAATATTAAAATAACAAGAACCTAAACGTAAAAGATGTGAAATTTTTTAGCCACATATAATAATCTCAAGAGTCCAACAAACAACCAAATCCTACAACTGAACTTAAAGCACGAAAAATGAAAAATATGCATGTCAACAATTAAATCATAGTAGTAGTATTAATATGATCATGAATAATTATAGAAATAATAAAACACACATGAATACTAGTACAATTTATCTATAAACAGTAAAACAGTACAGAATAGAACAGTATAGTTAGGAAATCAATAAACTGATACGAATGTCGAATCAATAAAGTAATTGTTGTATTAGTATTATCAATCAGTAGAAAAATCATATAAAATAGTAAAACAAAAGTATCAGTTAAAATTATCGGAATTATGTCAATACAGTAAAATTCTATAATGATATACATATACTATACAATTATTTTATATTAGTATAAAATTAATATTTTAATCATATGTTCAGTATATCACACATTTAATGTCAGTACAGTAAATCAGTAATATCAAATAAAATCGGTGTCGATATCGACAACAGTAACAGTCTAGCGACAATAACAATAAAATAATATATTAACAGTAAATTTGTGTAATAACAATAAATCCGTACAGTAATAAGAATAATACATCAATAACATGTATTTCAGTAGTCACACTAAACAAGTAAGAATTTTAATTAAAATTAATCGGTATTTATTTTGTAAGTAGTAATCCGTAAAAATATCACGTTGACTCAATAAATAGAGTCATCACTCTTTACCTTTAGAAGAGTAATCATCTCATTATAACTCTCAATCAATATCACATAAATCAATAGATGATAACACCAAATCATAGTATTGAAAGAAAAGCCTTTCAGCCTACTATCCTGTACATGTTAGTCAATTTCCAGCCAATATTATTAGTTAAATCAATTTGTACTTGTCCTCACACATATTATTACGATAGAACTATAATAATAATAATGATCAGTTATTACTTAATCATATATTCATATTAATTTTCAAGGCATGCATTAATAATATACTTATAATAAAAACATCAGTTATTTAATCATTAAGAACCGCAAAAAATACAATAACTTTCATTTTACCCATTTTACCCTGTGAAATCTAATAAATGTTATAATCAAAATGTCTAGGATATTCGATACGATACAATACAAAAAGCTGTGTGGTAAAAGCTCAATTAATCTAAGGAAAGTACAATAAAATTAGTTCTGTAGAGAATAAAAGAGATAAAATCAAAATATTTGAAAATAGAGATACGGTTGGAATCAACTACAATAATCAGAGCTATTTCTACAAAATTGGCAAAATTATCTGACTGCTAAAAATCTGCATTCTCCCTCTCTCCATTGCATTGCAATTCAAACATGAATTCATAATTTCTATTTTCAATTATTTTTCTAAAATTCTAATATTTACAATCTACCAGCATTAGAAAATGTTATTCTTGATATTTTCTTTAAGGATTCAGGCACAAGATCAATATAAATCAAATTCATATGATCACAACTCAAATCAAATTAAACTCAAATCAAAACTTGTCGAAATAAAAATTATTTAGTCATGCATCTCATTCTATAACATGCTATTCAATTATGCATACAAAATAATGCATCTTAATCAACACAATATACTTAGACTCACAATCAATTCCTATAGCTCTAATAATAATCAATTCTTCTTAAATCTCTATTGATCGTTTGATCATTGACTATTTTTTCAACATCTGTGTAGGCAACTTCAAACCAAGTTCATTTAAGGTTTGAATAAAATTTGATTAAGGTTTGAATAAACTTGAGATTGAATCTCGTTGAATTGATTCAAGTCATCTTCAAACCTTATTAAAAAAAATTTCAAATTCGAAATAGTTTAAACTAAATTTGCACAGTGCATTTCGACAAGCAGTTCATAAAAAAAATTTGCTCATATTTCTCTAATCTTGAATATTTTGAGGCATACCAAATCATATATATATATTTGTGTGGGAACTCAAAACCTTAAGGCTAGACTTCAAATTCTACTCATCCTTGAAGTATAAAGTTCTTCTAAAGTTTACCCAAAAAAAAGTTCTTCTAAAAGAGGAGCTCCATGACTAGATACCAAGTCCTCTTCTTCCTCTCTCTGATAGCATTTGTATTGTTGGGTTCTTCCTCGGCAATCCCAAGGAAGAACGTGGGGATATATGAGCTCAAGAAAGGAAACTTCTCTGTTAAGATTACGAACTGGGGTGCCACAGTCCTCTCGGTCATCCTTCCAGATTCCAAAGGCAAGTTTTTCTCCATGGGGATTCCGTTAATCATCTGGAAACCTTTAAAAATGCATATTTTCCCGTTTTTTGGTTCATTATTGAAGATTTTATCTCAATATAATGTTACAACGTACTTATACTTCTACAGGAAATTTAGCTGATGTTGTTCTTGGTTATGAAGGGCTTCGTCCATACATTGTACGATTCTTGTCCTTAACAAACTTCTTTATTTCCGTTCTGTTTCTTTCCTTTCCTGCTTCGGTCTTTTTTATTCCACAATTCTTCAAGCAATTTCATGTCTCCAGCAGAAGCCTAACCACACTTTTGTTAATATTCAGAATGGGAATACTTATTTTGGTGCATTGGTAGGGAGGGTTGCTGGCAGAATTTCAGGGGCTCGATTCGTTCTAAATGGAACTGCATATAGGTTATATCCTAACGAAGGAAAAAACAGCCTTCATGGTAAATCAAACTTATTAAATTGGTACAAAATGGCTTGTAATTTAGCTAAAGTTTTATCTTTATATTGTATTTCTTTCGAGCAGGTGGGCATAGAGGGTTCAGCTTTGTCATCTGGACAATCAAGGAGAAGGTTGATGGTGAATTCCCCTACATAAAGTTGTATTACTACAGTTTTAACAAAGAACAAGGTTGTCACCTTCGCTTTTATCAGATTATAATTAGGGTGTTAGAACAAAACTTGTAGGAAGAAGAACTTGTTCTTCTTGATTCTTGATGAGAGAGGGAAAACAGGTGGAGGAGATAACAGGAAATTAGATTTTCTTTTTATTAATTACAGGCTATTACAATGGGTGTTTTATAATGAGCATAGAGTGACTATTCATAGGCATTTACACTAATATGATGTCATGTAGGAACAATTTAACCTAAAACCTAGACCAATACTCGACATAGGGGCATGAATTTATGATTTTAATTACCTTCACCAATCAAATAGAGCATATTACGTCATTTGATTAGTTTAAAAATATATAATTAGTCATTTTTTTATTCAAAAGTTCAAAATGGCCCTACCAATTCAGATTTTTGGAGGCTGATATGATCAACATCTAATATCAGTAAAAATCATGATTGATTAGCATATCAAGAACTTATTGTGTTATGTTTAGATAATATTGAAAATATATAGGTTACCTGACAATAGGCTGCACTACAACATTATTTATTCTAACATATAAACTATTATTCTTACACTTGTTGCAACTTTAAATCAAAATCATAGAATAGGTTTTCCTGGCGATCTAGATGTCTATGTGACCTACAAGATCTCTGGTGATTATGAACTGAGTATCACAATGGAAGCCAAGCCAAAGACAAAAGCCACACCAGTAAATCTTCTCCAGCATTCCTACTGGAACCTCGGTGGCCATAGCTCCGGCACAATCTTATCAAATACCGTCCAGATCTTTGCCTCCTATCTTATTCAAGTAGACAATCAGAGCATCCCGACAGGAACTATCTCTTCAGTCTCTGATAGCCCTTTCGACTTTCGCAAACCAAACATCATCAAAAGTCGAATCAAACATGTCAAGAATGGCTACAACACTAACTATGTTGTTGATGGCCATGGAATGAGGAAAGTTGCAGTTGTAGAGGATGGTCGGTCAGGCCGGGCAATGGAGCTTTGGGCAAATCAGCCTGGAGTTCAGTTTTACACTGCATATTATGTGAATGATGTTGAAGGCAAAGGAGGGGTGATATATAAGAGATATGCAGGTCTATGCATGGCTTCACAAGGGTTTCCTGATGCTGTGAACCATCCTCAATTCCCTTCACAGATTGTGAAGCCTGGAGAGGTTTACAAACATGACATGTTGTTCAAGTTTTCATTTTAGCGTGAAGAAAAGGATTGGGTAAGGTGTATTATCTTCAATTGCTGCTTTTAGCTTGGCGTTCAAAGTAAGTACCTATGGAATCTTTCCATAAGAAAAATTTCTGTGCTTCTCAAATTTATCCTAATAAAATGAAAAAAAAAACTTTCTTTCGATATACAGTGAATACAGATAAAATGGGAATATTGACGACAAATTAATTATTTACTTGTATAATAGTTACTATGAATTTTTTTTTTTGAATAAAAAATTAATATTCAATTCCCAGAACTCTATGATTGACTCCTAGTCTCCTAATGTTCAAAATCTGGAGCCCAAAAATTTGCCTCAAGGAAGCACTCAATTATTCACAAATATTATTTCATCAAACCCAAAAAAGAGATGATAATGTAAATTTTACTTCAGAATAACTGTTGGTCTTTTTGTTTTTCTCTTATGAAGTATTTTCCTAATTCTATTTGATACGCCATCATGAAATTATCTTGATCGGGCATGAATCTCGAGGCAAAGCCCAACTCGGAAACTTCAAAAGTTAAATCCGGGAGCACCCGAACTCTGATTTCATCAAGCCTACAGTCAAACTGAGCGTCCCGGAAATATGAACCCAACGACACCAAATTCAACTCGATCCAAGCCGAAATGGGTCCTAATCAAGGACCCGAAGCGCTGTTGGAAGGTTCAAATCACAATTTGAGTTACCAAACGGTCTCCGATTTTAACGAGCTTATACTCGAATCGAACGACTCGACGAGACGAATCCAACTAACCCAAGATCACTGAATTATGTCATCATTAAGGCCTTCAAATGTCCAATGAACTGTGCATGATCAAAGGATTCAATATCAGCCGTCCATTCAAACCACTCCCAATTCGCCCCTGATCTCACACCTATTTACGGCTATGCCACTGCAGAAAAACTATGAATAGAGCCCTCATTCTTCACAAGGGGACTGAAGTGAAGAGAGAGTAGAAGAAGGGAAGAAGAAGAGAAAGGGGAAAAGGAGAATCCTCTCCTCCTTGACCACCGCCGGAGCTCTTCCCGCCGCCTGAATACACCGGAACTCTGCCGGATATTCGGGAGAACGCCAGAATTCTTGCCAACTTCAATGGGATGCGAAAATTCTTCTCAATTAATGACAGAGTTCCCTCCTGATGCCGAAACTCTGCCCAAGTGAAGCCAGAGTTCTCCTCTGCCACCAACAGATGTCGGACTTCTACCCGACGTCGGACCTTCACTCTTCGCCAAGTTTTTACCCGACGCCGGACTTCTACCGGTTATCGGACTTCGCTGGACATATATGCAAAGATGGATTTCTTTTCATGATTGGATTTCTACCTGTCGCCATCCTTCTGACCTTCGTCGTCAGATAACAGTTCTTCCGACCTCCGTCGCCTGCCGACTACGGTCCTCCTGACCTACGTCACCCGCCGACTACAGTCTTTCCTACATCCGTCGCCCGTCGACTACAGTCCTTCTTACTTACGTCGCCCGCGGACTACAGTCTTTCCGACCTCCGTCGCCAGCCGACTACGGTCCTCCTGACTTACGTCGCCCACCGACTACAAGCCTTATGACCTCCGTCGCACGTTGACTACGGTCCTTCCGACCAAACGAACACGTCAACAATGACTCTTTGTGTTAACATCATGTAATATACTCCATAAGATGTATATCAAGCTAAGGCCTTCCCCCAAGGAAGGACCTCATTTGTAATCAACTACAATACTAGTGGATTCATTCAAACTGGGCTAGGCCCCGTGATTTTTCTCCCTTTTCAGGGCATGTAAAAATCTTGGTGTCTCATAAATGCTAGACCCTCTCTCTTATCTGATTGTGTGTTGAATATTCGTACAACGCTAAGACGATAAACTTTATATTTCTCTACCGCCGCGAATACTCCTGGACGCAACACTATTGCACTAAAAGGAGAAAATTGTAGTGTAATTTTTATTTATTTATTTTTTTGAACGTGGGTATCTACTCGCTGTCACTCTAAAGGGAGCACTTGACGGCATAACTAATCCATCGGCGGAACCTTACAAGGCAAGCCACAAGTATCGGGCCCACACTTGCTTTGCCCCACTGAAGATGCGAGGCGGTAGCAGAGGGGATTTGAACCCGAGATGGAGAGTTCCTTCTCCTAATTTTCTTTTTTCCTTTTCTTAGTTGTTTTATTCTTTGCAATAGGGTATCAAAGAAGATTACTCTGCATCCCATCTGCTAATCTCTCCGACTAGATCTCTAAAAAGGGGAGGCCGTGCATCAATTTCTCTATCATTTATACCAAAAAGCCGAGCAGAACGTGATGTCTTAGTGGGACAGTACAATTTTTAAAGTGAGTAGAAAAGAAAAATTACAACTTCTTGGCGGTATAGTTTGAAAATTCATTTGCTATCGTCAATAATCCCATTTTTTATGGGCGCTTCAAGAGCATTATGACCCATTATAAGGCTTTCTTTCTACTTCTTAAAATAACTTCTTAGTATAAAAATTAAAATTTTTGTACTAATAAGCTGATTTAAGAAGCAATAAGTTCTTTTGTTACAACTTTCTTACTGTTTGTAAAGATATTTTTCTAGTATAAAAAATAAAAATTTTATACTAAAAAGCTGCTTTAATAAACAGTAAGAATGTCGTCCCAAATAAAACCTAAGTTATTGATAATTTCTTCAAACTCCTGCTCATTAGATCGGCTCTTTAGTTGTGGATATGTTCAACAAACTACTACCCTTCATTTATCCTCATTGTTGCCCAATATGTGTGTTAATTAAGAACATCTATCACACAACTTGAGGAGAGTATTAAATACCCATTAATTAGCTATGCAGTTTAAGGCTAGTTCCCAGTTCCCACCTTTGGCATTTTTTGTCTTTTTATTTAAAGTTTAAACTACCCACTTTGTCATAGCTTTTAGACACTAATGATTTTTTTTTTTTTGCCTTTTCTGCTTTGCTTCTTTTTCGCGATTCAATCTTATTTATTGTGTGAATTTCCTTCGGAAATGAAGCTTTGCTCTATTTTTATAAGAAATATATCTTATAAATTTATTATTTTCAAAATACATATTATCTAAAGGCTCTTTGGGTTGCTTTAAATTAAAAACCATATTTTTGAAAAAAAATAAAATAAACTAAATTAATTATTTGGTTAGACATAATCAGACACCAAAAATAACCTAAATTTTAACATATCCTTTTAAATTTAAAACCAGAGAAAATTTTAAGACTAAGCATGATTATAAATTGTATTAAGAGCTTAAGCATGTTTAAAAAAAATTAAAAATAGGCAAAGTCGCAAAAATAGGCAAAGTCGCCCGTTAAACGGGCGACTTACTAATCTAGTCAGTATCCAGTTAGCATTCAAATTTTTTTTTTAAAAAAAAAATTACTGTATCAAGTCTCCTGTTTAATGGGCGACTTGCTACAGTACAATATTCTTTTTATATTAAATTATTTCAAAAAAATATTTTTAATTTCTCACTAATACGGACAAATAAAAATATGTTATATTAACATAAGTTTGCGCATTTTATCCACTGCTTATCTTAGCCCATCAAAAAAAAATTAGAGAGACATTTAATATATTCTTCCGTGCTTAAGCATGCTATCTAAAAAAAAGAGAGGCAGAACTCATAAAATTCTCTAAGATGAACTGCATATATGATCAATAGTCTTTTCTCCTTACTTTTCTCTTCAAAAAAATATTTATTTTTTATTTAATGCTTTTTATAGAGAATTATCTGCATTAGAGATATATGTTGAAGTAAATAAATTTTATTTTAAAATATGTTGAATATTTTCTGCAATTAAAGTAATAATATTATTTTTGGACATGCTGAGATGAGCGGTGGATAAAATGCACGAACTTATGTTATATTAATATAACATATTTTTATTTGTCTGTATTAGTGCGAAATTAAAAATTTTCTAAATATATAAGACTGGTCAAGATTCGTAACAGTTTTGGCCGGCAAGCTCAAATGCTACCGGACAATAGCTCCGGCCCTATCAATATTGTCCTAATAGGCCGATAATGCGTTAATCTAATCGATAAATTGTTATTCAACGAAATATGTCAAATTTGGCTAAAGCCTTCACCATCATTGACTGGCTGTTAAGACCAAACCCGTCTCTTCAAAAACACTAAACAGCCGGCTTTCCTTTATATCTAAACACTAATATTTTGAAGAGAAATATCTAAAATATCAAACTCAATACTTCATTAACAAATTAACATTGCCTTCTAAAAATTTGTGCTTTGATCTATTAGGCTTCGATCGTTTGGGATGGCTTTTTCAATGCTTCTTAAAACAGAGTTTTAATTTTTGTGCTAAAACTCTGTTTTAAGAAACAACAAAAAAGCCGTCCAAACGAAGCCTTAGTCTTCATTTGAGACGACTTTTTACTGCTACTAAAATCAACTTTATAATATAAAATTTTTAAATTATATGCTAGAAAACTGCTTTAAGAAGCAACAAGGAAGCCGTTCAAATTTGGGACAATTTTTTTATTGCTTTTTAAAACAGAATTTTAATATAAAAATTAAAATTTTTGTACTAAAATTCTATTTTATGAAGCAATAAAAAATCATCTCAAGTAAAATATTAGTCAATACTATCTCCAGCTACTCATATAGGAAGTTGTTCATGACTTCATGTACTCACTGATATTTTAATTGATATTTCTTTTAAATTCTACTAAAGTTTTGTGAATGTGTCTATCCTATCTTATCATATATTTTTTATTTAATTATAATGATGTCAAAATGTAAACTCTCCTGTAATGCGCAAAATAATATAGGAGCTGGGTCAAAGACTCAAAGGGCCATTTTTAGCGTACATAATGATTTTGGACAATTATGTTAGTAATAGAAATCGCAAAGCTTTTTCCTCTAAGATTCTCTCTCTCTCTCTCTCTTTAATATTTTGCTGGAACTTATAAATATTGCAAGTAAAGTTCGATTGTTGCCAATAGGCATAAATGAATTCAATCAATATGTTACGTGTTTGATGACAACTGTACATGTTGAGTTTATGGCCGCTACAATCAATGCAGGCTATGTTGCTTAAGTACACTTAGGCTTCGTTTGGGACGGGTTTTTTGGTGCTTCTTAAAGCAACTTGTTAATACAAATATTTTAATTTTTGAACTAAAAAACTGCTTTAAGAAACAATAATAAAGCTGCCCCAAACGAAGCCTTAGTCTAATTAGGTCTAATAATACTTTTCAAAAAAATTAAAGCGGAAGAAAATGACCCTAATATGACAAATGGTGAAAACCAAACATGCCGAAGTCAATCGAATCATCGCCATGAAGCCCCTTAGCATGATTAGGGCCATAGTCAAAGTTTTAATAATAACAAAACTCTTCTTGGCCTATTGGATGAGACCTTACTTAGGCTTTCAACTAAGAGGTCTAGATTTCGAGTCTATGTGTTTGCGTTGTGTGTTTGAGTTTGTCTTAAATGACCTAAATGTCCAAAAAAAAAAAAAAAGTTTTTAATAATATGCAATCTTTTTACGATAAAATTATTAACAAAAATTCAACACATATTTATGTGATATATTATAGGAGTGCTAAATTTTGACACGACCCGAACCTAATATGAAAAAAATCCGGATTCGGGACGACTTGGTTAGTAAATGAGTTGGGTTCGGATTGACCCGGAAATCCGAAATTAACCCGAATTGGCCTGGATTTCCAGCTCAGTTGCTCGTCTGTCGCGTCACTGCTTCAGTCATGTCATCAAGCTTGTCAATTGCGTCAGGAGTGGGCCGTTCAACATTTGGGAGTCGATCGTTCGCCATTCAATCGTCCTCCAAGCTCCGTCGCGGTTGGGAGTTGACCATCCTGGCATCCTCTAGGGTCCCATCGTTCGCCATTTGGTAATCCTCCAAGCTTTGTTGGCCTTCGACTATCCTCCAGGCTCCGTTCCCCTGTCGTTGTCAGCCGTTTGAATCAAGCAACCTCCGCCGCCGACCCCCCATCTGAGTAATATATATATGTGATATATTTAATATCCTAAAATTTTGATACGAATGATAAAAATGTAATATTTAAATATTAAATATAGAAATATGCAACAGTTTTGTGATGTATAAGAATTAAAAATGAATTTCCTTTTATTCAAAATTTAAGTCAATGTTTTCGGGCATTTCAATATTTATATCTAATTTTTATATTAATACAATTAAAAATGTTGTTTAAAGTGTATTAATTTGATGTTTGAAATAAATACGCTCAAAGCCTTCAAGGTTAAACCTCAAACTCTCCTCTCTAGTTTTCATCATCCACCCCACACATTGCCAAGTTTTCCTCCTAAATAAGGAGCTCTATGGCTAGATCCCATGCACTCCTCTTCCTCTCTCTGATAGCTTTTGTCTTCTTGGGTTCTTCCTCCGCAGTACCAAGGAAGACAGTGGGGATCTATGAGCTCAAGAAAGGAAACTTTTCAGTTAAGATTACCAACTGGGGAGCCACAATCCTCTCTGTCATCCTTCCAGATTCCGAAGGCAAGTTTTCCTTCATGGATTTTCCCCTCAAAAAGCGAAAAACATTTAAAAATGCATATTTTCCCCATTTTTTGTGATTAATGACGATTTTATCTGAGTATAATGCAATATCGCACATCTCCAGGGAATTTAGCTGATGTTGTTCTGGGCTATGAAGGGATTCGTCCATATATTGTACGATTTACGTCATTTAATGCACTTATTCATTTGTTCTTTTTTGTCTCTTTCTTTTTTCCTGCTTTTGTCATGGGTAGGTACCTAAAGTTATCTTCGTAATGTGGGCATCACCCTAGATGCCGACTTTTATTCATACTTTGAAACCATTTATTGTTGATTTATCATTAATGATGTTTCCTTATTGAAGGATTGAAACGAAACCTTTATAATTTTTCTTAAGGTCATACTCTGTTGTGGTTTCCAGTCATTAAAGGGTGCCTAAGAGGGTATCCTCTTCAAAAGGAGTCCTAAGTGGTTTTCAATATTCTTTTGATGCTTCTGAGACCGATGCTTCAGTGGCCGGAGTTGTTTTTGCAGACACTGAATAGATATTTATGGCTCAAAAAGTTTGAAACAAATAAAATTCTTCAACGAGTTACAAAAATGTTTTCAAAATATTGTGATTTATTAACTCTCCGGTTTGATTTATTAGTTCTAATACGCTAATGGATCAAAATTTGACATTTTTTATATGAAACCACCGCAATTTTCGAGACTTGAATCCTGAAGGCAAGCTGGAATATGTGCAAAATGGGATGTGGGTAATTGCATTATACAATTAGCATAGTAATTGGATTAGATAAGACCACAAACCTTCTTATAGTTTTCTAGGTTGTTCTAAGGCATAACGCTACTTGTTTCTTCAGTTTCATGCCATAATTCATGTTTTCAGGTGAAAGCTAACTACAATTTTGTGAATGTTCAGAATGGGACTACTTATTTTGGTGCATTGGTAGGGAGGGTTGGCAACAGAATTTCAGGAGCTCGATTCGTTCTAAATGGAACTGCATATAGGTTATATCCTAACGATGGAACAAGCAGCATTCATGGTAAATCAAAGTTACCAAATTGATGCATATGGTATGTAGTTTAACTAATGCTTTATCTATTACTCTCTTTTCTTTTAATCAGGTGGACATAGAGGATTTAGCTTCGTCATCTGGACAGTCAAAGAATTGGTAGTTGATGGTGAATTCCCCTATATAAAATTGTATTACTACAGTTTTAACAAAGAACAAGGTATGTCACCTTAGCTTTTATCTAATTAAAATTAGGGGCATGCTTTTTATGGTTTTAATTATCTTCACTCATCAAATAAACTTGTGTATTGATTTGCTTAAAAATAGTTGGTTTTTTTTCTATTCAAAATTTCAAACCGACTCTACTGGCAACCAACATTGGTCGTCTCCTATGTCCCATGATTCCTGCCTTCATCCCATGGCAGTTTTTGATGTCTAATATGCCACTGCATGACTACCACATGATTGTCTCCACTGTCATTTAGCAGAAGTTGTTACAATGCTTGGCCGACCGGCGACAATCATCCATGTCCCATGTGAATATATGTATATATATGCATATGGGAACACACTAAGAAATACTGATTATTGCCAACAAAAGTTTTTCATGATCATTGTGAACTAACCTTGGGCTTACCAGATTCAAAGGTCCCTAACTAAATTAGAGCAAACCAATCAATTGTTTTAGGGGTTGTTTTGTACGATGTCAATGTTACCAATCAACTACTATATGTTTGGTTTAATTTAATGTGCTGAGATGTCAATGCTATATGTTTTAAAATACAGTAGTATGATTCTTCATTATGTCTTGACATTAGATGCCAGTCAACATCTAATGTTAGTAAAGATAAAGTATCAAGTATGATTATCATTTTTGTATTTCTATTTGATGATGTTTGTAAAACAAATTATTGACATATTTAAATAACATAATATGGTATATGTTGCGTCCTGGAATATTTACGGCAGTAGAGAAATATAAAATTTAACATCTTAGCTTTGTACGAAGATCCAGCACGCAATCAGATAAGAGAGAGATGTTGCATTTGTACGAGACACTAGAGTTTTTAAGTGGAGACCCTTGAAAAGGGGAAAAACCATGGGATCTGGCCCATTTTGAATGAATCCACTAGTATTTGCAGTCGATTACAAATGAGGCCCTTCCTTTGGAGAAGGCCTTGGCTTGATGTCACAAATATACATCATATAGAGTGCATTACATGGTGAGAATTACAATAATTAACATATACATGTTTGTTTGGTCGGCATGACCACAAACGATAGACGACGAAGGTCAGAAAGACCATAGTTGATAGGTGTTGGAGGTCAGAAAGACCGTAGTTGATGATGAGGTTCGAAGGACCATAGTCGGCAGACGATGGAGGTTGGGAAGACCATAGTCGACAGGGGTTGGAGGTCGGAAAGACCGTAGTCGACAGGGGTTGGAGGTCGGAAAGACCGTAGTCGACAGGGGTTGGAGGTTGGGAGGACCGTTTTCTGGCGACGGAGGTTGGAAGGACCGTACTCGATGATGGAGGCCAGAAGGACCATAGTCGGCAGGCAACGGATGTTGGATAGACCGTAGTCGACAGACGTTGGAGGTCGGAAGGACCATAGTCGGCAGACGACGGAGATCGGAAAGATCGTAATCCGACCATTGAGGTAGGAAGGACCGTTGGTGACTGGGTGTAAGTTCAGCAGAAGTCCGACGACAGTTGGTTGTCCGGCAAAAGTCCGGGCGTCAGGCGGTGGTCCTACAGAAGTCAGGCGTCAGGTGGTGGTTCGGTAGAAGTCCGGTCGTTAGGTGGTGGTCCGGTAGAAGTCCCTGTATTAGGCGGTGGTCCGGTAGAACTCCGGTGTCTGGTGGTGATCCGACATAACTCCGGCGTTAGGCGATGGTCCGACAGAACTCCGACATCAGGCGGTGGTTCGGCAGAACTCCGGTGTCAGACCGTGGTTTGGCGGAACTCCGGGCAGTGGTTGAGGAGGAGCGACGAGGCAAGATCGATCTCTGATCTTTCTCTTACTTCTCTCCCTTTGGCTTTGGTCTATTTTTCATGAGAAAGAGAGGCTCTATTTATAGATTTTCTGGAGTGGCATGGCCCGTAAATAGGAGGAAGATCAAGGGTATTTTGGGAGTGGTTTGTATGGACGGCCGACGTTTATTCCCTTGATCATGTACTTTTTGTTGGACATTTGAATGTCTTAGTGATATCAGAATTCAGTGATCTTGGCTTCGTTGGACTCGTCTCATCGAGCCGCTTGATTCGACTATAAGCATGTCACGTTTGGAAACTATTTGTTAAACCAAATTGTGGTTCGAACCTTCCAACAATGTTTCGGGTCCTTGATTTGGATTCATTTAAGTTCGGATTGAGTCGAATTTGATGTTGTTGGGTTCGTATTTTTGAGATGTTTAGTTCGACTGTAAGTTTGCTGAAATCGGAGTTAGGATGGTCCCAATTTTAATTTCGGAAGTTTCCAACTTGATTTTGCCTCGAGATTCGTGCTTGATTAACATATATTTTTTTTTATGATGTAGAAGTATCTCTTCGCTTGTTTATCGGATAAGGAATGAAGTAAAACTGTTATATGGATTATCTAGAAAATATAATTGCTGGATTTCTTATTTTCATTGCCAATACAAGCAAATTACACATTCCCATTTATGATTAGCAAATTACTCCATGCAAGTGCATGGGAGTTATAAGATTGCAAAAAGAAACATGGATGCATAATAAGTAAATATGAAAAATTTATGAAAATTTTATTAAACAAAATAAGATAAAGAAATTCATTTATCATAAATATATCTGCTCTTATTTTTAATTTTTTGAAATATATTTATATTTGAAACTAGTTGTTCGATTTTAAAATAATATCATTAGCTAAATAGAATGAAAATGGGCCAAGATAAAATATTCTATTACAACAACAACAACAACAAGCCTTTATCTCACTACGTGGGTCGGCTATATGAATCATTTTTCTCCATTATGTCTGGTTAAGAGTCAAATTCTCATTTAGATCTAATAAAGCAAGGACATTTCTAATATTTTCTAACCAATCTTTTTAGATCTACTTTTTAGGTCTACTTCTACCTTTTTTAACATAGGTTAAATCTAATAAATCTACTCTCCTAATCGGGTCATCTGAAGGCCGCCGTTTTATATGACCAAATAATCTAAGACGACTCTCTCTAATTTTATCTGTCATTGGTGCTACTCCAATCTTTTCTAAGATAGATTATTCTATTGAAAGTCATATTTATGTCTTATTCATTATCGAATTGGCTGATAATGAATGACTAATAAATTATTATAAAACGATGGATTTCAGAATCATGATCAATTAGTATGCTTGGTAACTTACTTTTCTTTTAGTTTAAGCCTGTTTAAATATTTTGTTTCTAGTTATGTATAAGATTTTTTTTTCTGAGCGTAAAAATTATTTAAATAAGCATTGAAATTGGTAACATAGTGAAATCTGATTGAATATATGGGTTACATTCATTTAATCGAATAAGTAAACATTAAAAGCAACAAAAATCATAAACATTCCAGTCCAATTGTGCCACATGTGAGTTCATTTATGTCATATGTCGATTCATTTATGCCACATGATTTTCTTTTGGAAAGTGTATTTGTATCAAATAATTGCTTGGAGATAATAAAGAAAGTCTAAACTAGTTTCACTCATTACAATGCCCCTTAGTAAAGATATGGTTATTCAGTGCTAAATTTTTTTGGCACATTTGACTATGGATTCATTGGTGTTGTTGTCTTGTATTTTGTTGTGCTCATGTTGTGAATGGTAAGCTGAGTGCTTGCCCAAGTACTTTGAATTCGAGTGATTTGTCTTCATTTTAGAGATTAATGCTAAAATTTTAAATATGAAAGATAGGACAAATTAGAGAGCATTAATAATGGGAGAAACAAGCATTAAAAATAAATTGATTAAATGTTGGAGCATGGATTTAAAGTTTCAAAATAGTGAACCTTCAAAACAAAAATAATTAAACTGTTGCGGGCTAGATCAATATGATACGCCCTAGGGTTCTACAATTTCGGCTTTGCCCTAATTTCCCCCAAAAATGACGAATTTCTCCACCAAAACCAAAGAGAAATAATCACAAGAGGGTTGTGATGAAAAGCAAGAACCTTTGCATTAGAAAGCCAAGAGAAAACAAGATAACTTTGTCCACTTCGAGAAGGACAAGATCTCCCAAAAGAAAACCCTAGAAAAGAACAAGAAGGAGACTAGAAGAAGAAAAAACTAGAAAGAGACTTTACTTTTCATAATGATAGAACTAAACCCTAATGGCTCCCTTCATACCCTTCCCAAAAATTCCTCCCATCCCAAATTACCCCCACTTAAGTGGGTGGGTCCCTTTGGTCCAACCGGTCCCCCGCCCCCCCTCTCTTTCGCCTGTAGACCCGCACGGGTCCAGGCGGGACCGGTTCACCCGGTCCATCACAATATTTGCGGTGTTAAAGTAAGAAATTATTTCATCCTAGTGTTGTACGGATACCCAACACACAAACAAAGAATTTAGAAACACCAGGATTTTTACTGGAAAATCCTAAAAAAATGGGAAAAACCACAGGATCATGCCCAGTTGAAATGATTCCACTACTATTTGAATATGTTACAAATATTGACCTGTCCCTAAACTTGAGGACAATTAATTTACAGTAGTCTATGAAGTGGGTTGCAATTCCTATGAGTTTGCAATGAGGACGGTAGGGCAGAAGTCCGGCAGTGGTAGAATAGATGTTCGACGGCTCTCGGGTAAAAGTCCGGCAACTGTCGCTAGCCGGGCGGAAGTCCGGCTTCAGTCGATGGCAATGGGCAGAAGTCTATCAACAATCGGCGGCAAGAGAGCTTCCAAATTTCTCTTCCTCTCTTATATTCTTTTTCTTGCTTGCTCTCCCTCCAATGAAGAATGAGTAGTTTATTTATAGTTTATGGGAGTGGAATGACTAGTAAATATGGAGAATATTATGGGCATGTTGGGAGTGTTTTGATGGACGATCGATATCAATTCCCTCGATCATAGTACATTTATCAAGCATTTCAGTGTCTTTATGATATCAGAATTCGATGATCTTAGGCTCGTTGGATTCGTCACGTCGATCCGTTCGATTTGACTATAAGCATGCACATTTAAATATCATTTGGTCATCCATTTTATGCTTTAAACCTTCTATATGTTCTTCCGGCCCTCGATTTGGACCCATTTGGGCTCGGATTGGATCAAATTTGGTGTCTTTGGTTCATCTCCTTGAGATATTCAATTTGACTTTAAGTTTGTTGAAATCGGAGTTACGGATGACTCATGATTTAAATTCGGAAGTTTCCAATTTTGATTTGCCTTGAGATTCGTGCTCGATCAAGATTAATTTTTGATGATATATCAAGTTAAAAAAAATTATAGGAAGTGATAAGGGGTTGGACATCCATTTATCGATTATAGAACAAGAGTTATTATGATAATGGAACCAATATCTATGAACTTCATAAATAGTCAATTCGGGTGATATGCATACAATTTTATCTTAAAATAATCTAATCAGCATAATTTTTTGAACTTAGAATTTGAAACTTCATTGTTTTTTCCAACATTATATGATGTGATCATTATCATTTTATACTATTCTAAATAATCCCATAGTTGAAGAAATATCTATGGGATTTTATTCCTAGTTTATAAGCATGAATTTCTTTTTCTTCCATGTAAGTTTTCAAGGAACCTTGCACCTTGCCTTACCTTGTTTTTTCAAAGCTCTTTTAATCTATTTTTCTGTATGTAGAGCGGATTGTTTTGTTAAATCAAGCTAATATTGAAAAAATATATTTTACCTAACATGCAGCACTTATTTTTCAAAGGAAAAGTTTGATCTATAGAAACCATTCTTACACCTGGAACTGCAAATCAAAACTATTGAACAGGTTTTCCTGGCGACTTAGATGTCTATGTGACCTACAAGATCTCCGGTGCATATGAACTGAGTGTCACCATGGAAGCCACACCACGAACAAAAGCAACTCCTGTAAATCTTCTCCAGCATTCCTACTGGAACCTTGGGGGACACAACTCAGGCTCAATCTTATCCAATACCGTCCAGATCTTTGCCTCCAATATTACTCCACTAAACGATCAGCTCATACCAACTGGTGCCATTTCCTCAGTATCTGGCACTCCTTACGACTTTCGCAACCCAAACACTATTGAAAGCCGAATCAACTATGTCAAGGGTGGCTATAATATGAACTATGTTGTTGATGGTCAGGGAATGAGGAAGGTTGCGGTTGTGGAGGATCGCCGGTCAGGCCGAGCAATGGAGCTTTGGGCAGACCAACCGGCGGTGCAGTTCTACACTGCATATTATCTAAATGGTGTTGAGGGCAAAGGAGGGGCGATATATGGGAGGTATGGTGGCTTGTGCTTGGAGACACAAGGATTTCCTGATGCTGTCAACCATCCACAGTTCCCTTCTCAGATTGTGAATCCTGGAGAGGTTTACAAACATGACATGCTGTTCAAGTTCTCATTTTAATGCGAGGAAAATTAACCGAGTTTTAGGCTTCGTTTGGGATGATATTTTTATTGCTTCTTAAAGATATTTTTTAGTACAAAAATTAAAATTTTTATATTAAAAAGTTGCTTTAAGAAGCAGTAAAAAAATTGTCCCAAACGAAGCCTTAGTCCTCTGTGGTTAGATTGCAGGGAGCTTGGGAATTTAGTGTTGGCTAGTTTTGCATAATAAGGCATATTCTCTTCAATTGCCTCTTTCAGCTTGGTCTTCAAAGTGAATAATATGGGATTTTTCTATAATTAAAAAGGATTCTTTCCAAATCTATTCTAATTAAATGAAATAGAAACTCAGGATCGCAAGTGAAATTCAAATAAAATGCGCACATAATTTTCGGGCAGAAAATCTAAAATAATATTGTTTTTCTAAGAGAATGAACTATTTGGAAAACAAAATAAATTATTCTGTGCGGAGTTCGGACATAGTTTTGTGTCCAGATTCTAATAAAATGCTGACATCTCGAGCCTGGTGACTCGACCTAGGTGCAAGTTTTAATACTTAGTGAAATTTTAAATTCATGGCAAACTAAAAATCACAGTATTTGAACGCTCAACCTCAAGCATGACCTCCTTGCTCGAACCCCTTGCTTCTTCATCGGATTGGCGACTCGGATGGCCCAAAATTCCCTTCTTCATTAGAATAAACAAGGCGATGTTTCACACTTCCTTAAAAACTACTGCTTTCAACGGTTCTGCTCCTCTCTGCGCTTTCATAAGAGAGTGGACTATAGTACATATGAGATTGCAGTGGAAGCTTTAAAGAAGATAGCTACAATACAAATGATGTTACAACACATATGACAAGAAGAAAGCTAAGCTCAAGCGAGGACGTGACAAAGGTCTAGAGGCAACTATGTTGCAAGTGAAATTGCGTCAATCTTGATGCAACCTTTCACCCATAAATTTATTAAATGGGTGCTAATGCTACTTGTTCCGGATAAATTTATTAAATGAGTGAATGGTTGCATCACTAATGTTTATTTTTCTATTTGTATTAATGGAGCTCTTAATGGTTTTTTTAGCTCTTCCTCAGGGCTTTGTCAGGGTTGCCCCTTATTCCCACTGCTGTTTTGTATTGTTATGGATGAGCTGTCTTGTTGCTTATCTCAAGCTAACAACCCTTTTTCTGGCATTATGCTTAATGACTGCTTTGTTACGCATTTGCTCTATGGAGACGACGTCCTGGTCTTCAGTCTTGCTACCCGTGCTAATGCTACTTGCTTATCCAACTCGCTAAATTCTCTAATGCCTTGGGCCTCTTCATGAATCCTGCCAAGAGCTCCATCATTTTCTCTAACAATGTGCTAGACTATGATGCAATTTGTGATATCATTGGCATACCTCTTGCGAGCTCTAGTCTAATTTACTTAGGGATTCCTATCTCCCCTTCATGCCTCAATTCTACTCACTTCTAACCACTCATGAGTAAGGTTCTTACTCTACTTGATGGTTGGAAAGTTAAGTTTCTTTCATTTGCAGGTAAAATTAAATTCCTTAAATTACGATTGCAAATATCATTGCCTCTTAGATCAGGGGGTTGATTATTCCAAAAGCTTGCTGTAAAACCATTTCGAAACGTTGCTCCAGGTTTTTATTCCATTGTTGCACAACTGATAGGAAGCTTCACCCGATCTCTTGGGCTAAGATTGCTATGCCTAGACAGTTTGGGGGTCTTGGCATTCCCTCTATTGATGCCCTTTATCATGCGAATTTTTGCTCTTTTTTATGGAGGTATTATACATCAGATAATCTGGCTATTACTTGCTTTAAGTCCAAATACTCTTCTCCCTGGAAGTTGCCGTCTGCCGATGCCTCTAAATTTTGGAAATTACTATGCTTTTATGCACAGTCGGTTATAAGTTCTATTTCTCTGGTTGTCTTTGAAAACTTCACTTTATCGATGAGGTGGGATCCTTGGTGTTTCAAAAAGTCCCTCTATGAACTTTTTCCTTCGATTTAGGTTGATTTACCTTTTGTTAAATGTTATCTTTGATAGAAGAAAAAACGGAACACAGAAAAAATGGAAGAGAAAACTCAAAAGAAATTTTTTTTTTTTCACTAGACGTCTTCACAGGAACAAAAAACAAAAAAAAAAAATTTGAGGAGAGCTTGTCTTCGGATTGGCTTGAAAATGGCAACAAGGAAGATGTCACAGTTGGAAGAAATTCAGAAAAAATTATTGATTCTCTGCCCGTGAAAGTCCAGAGAACAAGAAATTACTTTGTTTTTAGTTTTCTATTTTCTACCGTGGAAGGAGTGAAGTAAGAAGTAAAGTATTTTCTCTTCTCTACCAATTTTGTTCTGTTTGGTTTTTAGTTCCATCAATCTTAATCATAATATGTGGGTTCTCCCACCTGCACTTCCTAATCAATTACGGGATGTAGTTTTTAACATCCCTATTTGTGAGCAACCAGCTTTGTCTTGGAATAGCTTGCAAAATCCTTCTTTCTCCACTTTTTATGCTTGAGTTTTCTCTAATTTAGAGGTGGTTGGTTGGTATAAAGTTTATCTGGCATAAACATCATTCTCTCAGGTTCTCTACCTATGCCTGGATGGGTTGCTCTCGGTCGCTTGAAAAGTGCTGACTTACTTAGAATTAGATCTATTGATGTTAATCCTTTATGCCCGTTTTGTTACTGTGGCCATGTGAGCCATTCACATCTCTTCTTTGAATACGATTTTTCTTTTTCATTTATTTTTGAGTTGTTGCCTGGGCTTGGTTGCTTCCTCCTTAGGCGGACATTGATGCAGGTTTTTGATTTTATTGATGCTGCCTCTAGCTATTCTAGTTGGGAAAAAGATTTTTGCTACCTTGTTGTTTGTGGTTCGGTTTATTATCTATGGAGAGAAAGGAGCACTCGTCAGTTTGACAATACTTGGAATAGTCCCTCCAAAATTGGTTAAACCATTAGCATGCTCTCCTCCTCAAAGTGAGGAAGTGGAAACGTTTTGAAGAGCTCAAAGCCCGTTTTGCAGTGCTTTCTTGATGGTCTGGGTTGTTTTGGATTCTATATTGGGCAGATTTTGTTGGGCAATGATGTTAGTATTGCTCCTTTCTCTCCTTGGACGGCAGTGGACTGTGGCTCTACAATTAAAATTTTTTTCTAAAGCAATTTTCTGATATAAAAATTTTTATTTCAATTTTTTTTTTATTAAAAATTATTTTACAAAGCAGTAAGAAAACTACCCAGAATTTTCACCAATGGAAGCATATCATGCCGTCTCTTTATCCAAACTTAATCAGATGATACTGCTTTTGGGCCTCATGTGGGCAATTGAGACCATTATTGGCTTGAGGCTTTGAGTAGTCTGATCTATGATCACAAAGGACCATTGGTGAAGTATGACTCAATTTGCAAATCAAATATAAAATCTTGTTGATCTTGATGCCATACGTTTATGGAGGTGATATCAATGTATTTAAAAAATTATGAAAAATTTTATGAGAGCTTGTTATGATTATCATTATTTTAACTCAAATGGAATCATAAAAAATTAAAAAAGTTCAAAATAAACTAGGCTTAATTTGGAACAGTTTTTTTTAGTGTTTTCTAATGATGCTTTTTTAATACAAATTTTTTTTGAACTAGAAAATATTGTACTATCACCTGAGTCTAGGCCTAGCATTTTTGCTGTGTTTGTTTGTTACTTTATAGCTCTTGGATTTTTGCTTCATTTTTGGCCTTTTTGGAGCTCTTCATGCTTTGAAGATGCTCTCTTTCATATATTTTTTTCTTTCTATTCAATTTTTTTTGGCAACTTCATTATAGTTTAATGAATGGGATTTGCTCCAAATATTCTAAAAAAAAAAAAAAAAAATTGTACTAAAAAGTTGGTTCATAAAACAGTAAAAATAGTCATCTCAAACGAAGCCTTATGGTTCGTTTGGGTAAGCTTTCTTAATTTTTTTAAAACAAATTTTTGGAATAAAATTTTTTAGTTCAAAAGATTTTTTAGTAAAACACTGTTTTAAAAAAACATTAAAAAAGTTATCTCAAACAAAACCTTAGGCTTCAATAAAGCTCTAAAATTCATGCTAATGGACCTTTGATCTTCTCTTGGCCATCCAAGTCATGTGGATGTTCAAACTTTATTCTCTTTATAAATAATATCAAAGCTTATCTAAGATAATCAAGCTTTAATACAAACACTAATAACAAATTCATAAACTCTCATGATATTTAATGATTAATTGCATTAGAGTAACTGATAATAATAGCTATAACAACCTCTCATAATAATTTTCATAATTTTCGAAATGTTGGAAATAATTCAAAATATAGTCCTTCTGTTTTACATCACTTGTTGAACAAATTGCACAAAAATGAGCGTATAGTAATACTATTTTAAATTGTTGTCCACGAAAAAATAGGCAAAAAAAAAAAAAAAAGAATTTGAGATTAGATAGGACATCATAAATCAACTTAATAGCACATAAATCCCAATGCATATTTGACTTAAAATTTGTTGAAATTAAATTCAAGTCTTTTATGAACTCTTTTTGAAAAAAACTAAATTCAAACTGAACATCTTAATGAAACGAACTCACCCACATGACAAATTATGATGTGTGGACGCCGAACACGTCCATACACCAATCAAAAGCCGCAACGTCACCCAATGCACTGTGGCTATGATTGGCCTCTGAACGTGTTTGACGTCCGCACGTAATAATCTCTCCACCCCACACCAATAGTGGTCCAATCAAATTCCAAATGAGCCGAAATTAAATATTTGAAATGTAATAAAACTTCAAGGTATCAATTAGATGATTAAATGATCCTTAAATCATACATGCTTATAGTAAATTTGAAAATCCATTATCATAAAATTTGACATATATCATTAAGGCACTTAAATATTAAAAAAAAATAATAGTTGATCAATGTAATCAATATAAGGTATCTTATAGAATTTTTAAGAGTTAGGCTATATTTATAATGTATGTTACTCTAAAAGATTATAGAAAAAATCCTCATCTTTATATGGGGAGGCCCTTTGCTAGAGATTAAAGAGGGCTTAGCCTTAAATGTCTCAAGATTTTTTTTTTTCATTTTTTTTTATAATGGCTCATATAAAAATTCTAGGGTCTCTTAAGACCTTTTTTATTTGAACTAAACTATTAATATATATATATATATCTCTCTCTACTGCCATCATGTATCAACATTCATCATTTATTCAAAGTTTTAGATACTTTATTCCTAAAATGACCTAATTTTGCATTTATTTACTTATTCTATAGATTTTAAATGTAATTGTATGTATAAACAAAATTAAATAATTATAGATACTTTGAAATATTAAATCAAATTTGGATATTGAATATTCTGAAAGTTAATATCAAATCATCGTACTAGATTACTCTAATGGATAGTACCCAAATCAAATACCAACCTATTGGATCAAGCGGTTAGATAACTTAAGCAAGGCAAAAAATGTCTCCACCATCTGGTTTCTTATTAATTCAATTGGTATGAGGCCTTTTCGAATATCAAACGGAGATAATTCTTACTTTTACATATCAAATTCAATAATCTCCAATATAACAAAACATTGTTACTAACTTACAATTTTTATAGGAAATCATCCATTTGAGAAGAAATTATTATGTGTGAACATCAAATGTGTCTGAAAGCCAATCAGGAGCTGCCACGTTACTCAATGCACAATGTATTGCGTGACGTGGTGTCTCCTAATTGACCTTCGGACATGTCGACATCCGCACATAATAATCTTGCCCATTTGAGATCCATCGCGGGCTTTTGCTCGTATGTCGTTATATTTGTCTTAAAATAGATTTAGAGAGATGATCAGACTGTTAAGGCGAAATCAAATAATCTAAAAATAGGCAAACCATAGAGCAATCACGAACACAAATCCCCCGCTTAACTCTCAAACCGCTCTCATCCGCATCTCGCCCAATTTAAACTAGCGCTATAAATATATATAATCCCTCCCTCCCCCACCTTCCTTCCCGGGGCCCCACAAACAAATAGGAGCCAACTCAGGCTCTATTCCAATAAAAAATAAAACAGAACTAGTCATTCTCTCCATCCCAATACTCTCCTCATCCACCAACAAAAATGGCGAAAAAGGCCGTCATAGCCGGCGTCTCCGCCATTCTGCTCGTCACCGCCGTGATCGGCGTCATCGCCATCACCAACCGCTTACGAAACTCCAATTCCCACTCTAACTCCGGCCAACTCACCGCCAGCTCCAAGTCCATCACCGCATTGTGCGCCCCCGCCGTCTACAAAGACATATGCGAGCGTACCCTCCGCTCCGGCTCGATCAACGAGACCTCCACCGCCGGTGACATCATCCGCGCCGCCGTCCATGTCATCGCAGCCGAGGTCCAATCCGCCAACCAGCAGGCCCACGACCTCCACAGCCAAGCCAAAACCTCCATCGACAACGACGGCTTCGAGTTCTGCAAACAACTACTCGGCGACGCCGGCGACCAGCTATCCGCTGTGATCGCCGAAGCCGACAATGTACACAGGCTCGATGACTTCCAGGCTTGGCTCAGCATGGTTATTTCTTACCGTACCAACTGCCTCGCGAGCATTGAGGCGCAGGACCTCAACGAGCAGATGACCGCAGCTCTCCGCAACACCACAGAGCTAACCGACAACGCTATCGCCATCGTGAGCGCAGTCGGGGAACTCGCGCAGCAGCTTAATCTTACCATCAATGGGACCAGTGGCGTTACTGTGAGCGGTCGGCGATTGCTCTCGAATGACCGGTACCCTTCATGGATGGCTGCCGGTGACAGGAAGATACTGTCGTCGCGGGTGATTAGACCGAGGTTGAGGCCTAATGTAGTGGTGGCGAAGGACGGCAGCGGGCAGTTTAAAAGCATTAATGCGGCGCTTAATGCGATGCCTAAGACTTATAGAGGGCGCTACGTGATCTACGTGAAGGCTGGAATTTACGTTGAGAAGGTTACCGTCGAGAAGAACAAGCCCAATCTTCTTATATACGGAGATGGACCACGGAAAACAATTGTTACTGGACGGCTCAACTACGCCGAGGGAGTTGGAACTTTCAAGACTGCTACATTCTGTAAGACAGCATCTTCCTTTGAGAAAATTTTTTTCCTGATCAGAATGATTTTAAAATCTTTAGATCTATTTTAAAAGGGAATAATATATATACATAATTTATATTATATTCATTTCAAAATAGGACTAAATTTTTTAATTTTATCGTGATTACAATTTTAAATAAGTCTAAACACTAAAAAATAGTTAGATTAAGGACATTAAAGAAAAAAAAAAAGAGTTTGATTAATAAAATCAGAGAAAAAAAAATCTTTATGTACTTTCAGGTTAAATTGAGAAATTGTAAGGAGATATATGCTAGAAAATAAAGGACAAATAAATAGAGTAAACATAGAAATGCATAGAGATATTGCTTTTCATTTTTTTTAATTCATCATCTAGTTATTATTATTTGAATTTAATTAACATAGAAATATACAATGATATTTTGCTTAAAATTTTTTAATTGAGAATATTTAAGCTATTAAGATAAATTCAAACACATATTACATACGTAAATTTTAAATCTAAGATCACTTGATTAACAATCAAATCCTCCAACTAATAGATCAGGTTGAGTTGCTTGCTAAACATTTACACTATCAAAAACTTCATCAAATAAATTACTTAGTGTTAATTATGATTGGATAAAATGAGCCTAATTTGTAAGGTCAAAATGATATAAGATTTTATTGTTAAGAAAATCACATAAGAAGAGAGATGAATTTAGCACCAAATCGGTAGCAATATCATAGAAGCTAATGATATTAGAAAATCTTATGGAGCATTCCATGTGTAGAGAATTCATGAAATAGGGAATGAGTGATTATGGAAACCATATTAGTTGAACAAATATTTACATGTGATGTAAGATGATATCTCATTTCCCATAATAGGTAATTTGCTATATAATTTTTTTCTATTTGGCAATGAGCTTATATATCAAAGGGAGGGACCTTCTGAGACATTTTCTCAGAATTAGTTGATCAAAATAAAAAATAAAAATAAAAATCATGTGATTTAAACTATAAGATTTTTATAGAATAACAATAAAATAATTATTTTGTAACATAAAATGACAATCAAATTTAATTTTATTTATTTATATTGCTTTATTGGCTGAGGAAAGACTTAGAAGTTCCCAATAAAATTTTCATCTATAAAAAAGTGCCTATTTTACAAGTATTGAACAATAACACAAAACAATATTAAATTTTGTAAGAAACAAATGTATGAGCAAATTTATGTTATTATAAAAAATGAGTTTCAGTGCTCACTTCATAAGAAACAAATTTCCATTTGTATTTTAAATATAAGTCTTATAATTCTAAGAAATAAATATAATATTTTGTGCCCATATTCTAGACTATCAATATATTTATTAAAAAATATTGAATCAAACATAAATTTATAGATATTTTTATTAGTATTTTTGGATTTAAAAAATTGTTTTGATAAAAAAATTATCTTATTTAGTATCTTCAAAAATAAATAAAATATTAGAAAACCAAATGAATTCCTTGCTACGATTATTCAAAATATAATATGATTTTCGCAGCTGTGCAAGCACCCGGATTCATTGCCCGGTCGATGGGATTCACGAACACAGCCGGACCAAAGGGTCACCAAGCTGTAGCTCTCCGGCTAAACGCCGACGCCGCAGTGATCTACAACTGCAGAATCGATGGTTTCCAAGATTCCTTCTACTCCCAGTCCGGCCGCCACTTCGTCCGCAACTCTGTCATCTCCGGCACCATCGACTTCATCTTTGGTGACTCCCAAGTAGTCATTCAAAACTGCCTCATCATCCTTCGCCACCCCATGGACTACCAAAAGAATACCGTCACTGCACACGGTAAGGACACCCAGCACGAGCGCACCGGCATCGTTATCCAAAACTGCCGCATTGTGCCGGATCTCCGCCTCTACCCCGACCGCTTCAAGATCAGCAGCTACTTAGGCCGTCCATGGAAGCAATTTTCGACGACTGTAGTGATGGAGTCTACAATCGGCGATCTAATTCGTCCTGAAGGGTGGTTGGAGTGGAACGGGAACTTCGCTCTCGATACTCTGTATTATGCTGAGTACAATAACCGCGGCCCGGGCTCGCCGACGTATAGAAGGGTGAGGTGGAGGGGCTACCATGTTATCAACAGGAGGGAGGCCTTCAGATGGACTGCTAGTGTGTTGCTTGCTGGAAGGACATGGATTCCTTACTCTGGCGTGCCAAATGCTCTTAGCCTCATGAGGTGATCATGAGCTTGGAAATGTCGCATGAGTTGCTTAATCAATGCGAGGACAGAGGTGAGAGTATAGATCGATCAGAGCTAGTGGAGCTGTGGTTATTTGTTCAGTTTGATATAATTAATTCATCTAATTGTTGTGTATGGCTTGTGATTTATTTCAAAATAATGAATTGGTGAGAGGAGAACTAATTAAGCCTGTCTATATGGAGGCATGGAGTTTCATTCGTCGTAAGGGGTTGTTTGGTTGTGTGAGGTAAAAGAACTGTACTTGTTTTGATTCTTTTGATTGTTTATTTGAACTAAACTGAATTAAAATTATTTATGTAAGGTATTTGTAGTACTTTTGATTGCCTGTTTTGAAAGATTTTGAAGCTCGTCTAAAAGATTGAGAAGAATTTTAAATACCACAGCTGCCGTTTGTTTATCAATCTCTATCTATCGATGCCCGCTTGACTCGCCATTGTCGCTTGCTTGTCGTCATCATCGATCACCCACCGCCGGCCCTGTTGGCCTGCCCGTCAACGCTTGCCATTGTGCCTCCCACTGATTTCCTTTTCTCTGCTATTATAAAACTCACTCATCCGCCATTATAGTCTATAAAGCCGTTGTACATCGATGTAGATAGAGCAACTGATTTTTTGAATATATGATAGTATTTTAATGCTACATTTATGTATTTAAATTTAGGATTGTTAGGATATATTGACATGTATACTTTTCTTTTATCAGAAAACTTTCATACTTTTTTCTTCGATTAAATTGAATACAGGATGAGTTAAATTAGAGTTTCATAAGGCATTTAATAGGATGTGTAGTATGCTTTCATGTAGAGAAAAAATTAGGATTTACTTGGATTCTTAGTTACAATTAGCTTCCTTAAAAAAATACAAATAAAATAATTAATGAAAGAAACCAACTACTAAAATAAAATATATAAACTAAAAATAAATTTACTGATTGATGCAATGCTTTTATAAAAAACAAACACAAAAATTTTCATTCGATACCTTGTGTATTAGTACATCATACATCAATTTGCTCTTCTGCATGTGTAACAGTGCCTGCTCATTCCCTCAACTCAAATGGTTCGACGGAGATCGCTCTCGCCTCTCTGTTAGTCGGCTTACTTTCCCTCAACCTAGAGATTTTATGAGTTTTCTTTGCAATGGGATTTCAATGATCCCACATAGGAATGATATTATATATCATCTTATAGACTACTGGAATTAACATTAGTATTACTCGTTGCAACAACAAGGATCGAAAGAGCATTTTCTGCTATTAATATTATAAAAAATTGATTGCGAAATAGAATTGAAGATCAATGTTTGAATTATAAGTTATTTGCTTATATTGTGAAAGATATTTTAGATTGTATTGACAATGAAATAATAATTCAACACTTTCAGAATATGAAGAATAGATGTTATATATTGGAAGTTGTTTTTTATTTTATATTTAATAATCTACCTTCTTAAATAATAATTTTAAAAAAATTAAAACTATCTATGTGAGTCTTAAATCCGGATATAGAGGAAAAATTAAAAAAAAAAACTAATTTATGCCCCCTAAATATATTTTTTGGCTCTTTCTCTCACTATCTCTGTCTTAGAGGTTACGGTACGTCGTTCTCTAGTTGATGTAATTATCATGAGTTTTTTTCAAACAAATTTTTCTCTATTGCTGTCTTCCATTGGGAAAATTGTTGCATCCGGTGTCCGGATTCGTCCGGACATCAATCCGGTGTTGCCACGTCACCCAAACACATCGGGACTCAATGTATTTTGGTGATGTGGCGTCACCGGATTGGATTTCCGGACATCCGGTGACCGGACGCAATAATTCACCCTTCCATTGAGGGAGTCAAAGTGAAATCATTGATTGGCCATGGTATATTGATGCCATGTTTTCATAGACTAGAATCACTAGATGCATGCATCGAGAATGGTTCGGTGCATATCTACTCCCACCATAGGAAAAACGTTAATTTTTTAGTGGAAATTCTGAAAAAGCGAATTTTCGACCAAATTTTAAATTTTTTGGAAAATAATAATTATTATTATGTTAATTTAACAAATAAAAATAAATTAATTAGGTAATCTAATAGATATTGTTAAATAGATTAAACAAAGAATTATGTATTAAAAATAATTATTAAGAAAGTATAATTTAAATAAAAAACACAGCTGAATTGATAATGTATGCATGACAGCTCATAGACCCGCGGAGTTTGCAGGCGGGCTTGGTTCACGAGCCCGTAGAGTGCAAGTTGTTTCACATGCTCGCGGTGATAGCAGGCGGATTCACAGTCCCGTGGAGTTCGCATCCAGGTTCGCGGGTCTGCTCGGGCAAAATAATATATATATTTTAATTTTTTTCTAAGCAATTTTTGATAGATTTTTGAAGAATTTTTTCGACGGTATTTCTTTTCCGACGCATGACTCACCGTCGGAAAATTTTTCAAATTAAAATCCACTAGAAATATAAATTACCAATGAATTTTATTCATTTTCCTGTGCTAATAACCACCAAATAATGATGTTTTTCCGATAGTGTCAGGCAACTCGTGCAATAGTGATATGGCTCGAATGACATCAAAAGATAAGAGTCTCTCTCTATCTCTTTGTGTTTCACGCACTCAAAAACTCTTTATCTCTAATTAAGAACCTATTTGGTTAGATCTCACTAGGATAGCAACACAACATGTGATGAAGTAGTTATGACATGGACACTTTAACTTGTCTCTCTTTTCTATTTGTTATTTTTTGTTCAATATTATATAACTTTATTACTCACTCAGAATGGCAATCTTCTCTTAAGAGGGGCTCGTAGAGGATAGCTAGTGTATGATATATGAGAAAACATCTGAATGTTTTTTAAAAAACAACTAATACATTAGCGTTTTTTGGGTGCTAGTGATTGTTTACAATCAACATCCTCTTTTGTATCTACGCATGCATCTCCTGTGAGAAATCTTATATTTTATTACCAGACTTTTTTTGTTTGGTTGAACTTGCTCCAAAAGAAAAAAAAAAAAAGATTATAATTGCTTTGTTTGTTTAGATTTCAGAAATTGTAATGGCAAAATGAGCATCCAAATGCAGAGTGAAATTTTTCCGAGATATTTCTCTTTTAATTTCAGTGTTCAAATGAGTTACTTAAATTTATGGGCACATGCCATTAGTCCACTAATTTGGAAGTTCTTATGATCTTTTAAATTCAGTTTTTTTTTTTTAATTATATTTTTTTGACATGTGTTAATGATTAGCATCGATTTTAACCGTTGTTATTTTATAGAATTGCAGTGGTTAAAACTGCTGCTAAAAATATTGCTAAAGTCTTCCTATAATAACACTTATAAAATCACTATAAAAGCCTTTTCAGCCAACACAAATACAGTTAGATTTGTAGCGGTTCCTAAAACATTATAAGAAATTTAGTAGGTGTTGTAACCGCTGCATTAGGGTAAAAAAATATTACAAAAGCCAGATTTATTAGTAGTATGAGGATTTTAATTAGGCAATAGTGATCAAAGAATAATAATTTGGTATTAATAGTCGGAGAACTGTAGTCCCGCAACTATAGTTTGTGACCATAGTTTGGTGATATTAGTTAAAGGACTATAGTTGGGTCATAGTGATTGAAGGGCTATTAGTTAAGTTATATTGATCGGATGACCATTATTAGGTTATGATGGTTGAGAGATAGAAGTCGACTAATATCAATCAGATGACTATAGTCAAGTGATAGTAGTAGGAGGACTACAATCATGTGATAATAGTTAAGAGACCATAATCAAAGGACTATAATCTGAAGATAATGGTTAGAGAACCATATATAGTTAGGTAAAAGTGGTCATAAGATTATAGTTGAGTAATAGTGATCAGAGGATTATAATAAAATAATGCTAGATAGAGGTTTGTAATTTGGCCATGTTGGCCAGAGTATCATAGTTGGGTGAAGGTGGTCGGGAGATCATAATCGGGTGATGGTGATCAGTGGATGGTCATAATTGGGTGATGATGGTCAATGATCATAGTTGATCAATAGTAGTTGAAGGATCATATTTAGATGGATGGTGTTTAGAGAGCAATCGTTTAGTGACAGTTGTGAATGACCATCGTCAAATGACCATGATAAAAAGATAAATGTTATGTAAAGATGCTTAGAGGACCATATATAGTCTTGAGGCTTCAGTTGGAGGACTATACTATGGTGATGTTGGTTGGGTGATTAGATTATGAGGATACTGGTCGAATGATAATTATTGACACAGCACTTTGAGGATCATTTTTGGGTGACAATATTCAAAGAAACATAGTAAGACACAAATGGTTATAAGATAGAAGTTCAACTACAACAATTGTGCACCATAATCGTGTGATGGAAGTTAGAGGGTTACATTAAGGCAACAATGTTAAGAAGACCATAGTCAAGGGATGATAGAAGGAGGATCAGAGATTGTAGTACGAAAATATTAACGAAAGTTGTCTAGAGACTATAATCGGATCATGATGGTTTGTGATGCCCTAAGATCTAAATTGAAAGAATTGTATCTTTTTTGGTTATACAAATCAACCATAGTTTACTAATTTCATAAATAAATAATACAAATAGAAAAAAAATATAAATATATTTCTATTAATCCAACCCAAAAGAATATGCAAAATAACCATGATGTTCCACCAAAAATAGTCCAACCAAAATATATCATGACCATAAAAAATAAAATACAACAGATGCAGATAGAAAATCTTAGCCTACTGCCTAAATCATTAGGATTCTTACCTTTATCATAAAATATGTAAAAAATCATGTAATGTGCACAAAAGCCCAATAAGCTATCAGTATATTCAATTGAAAATGAGCAAAATATAAATAATATATATATATATATATAATTGTAGAAATATGTAGCATTCAATATGAACAATATCATCTATATCATTCATATTATATGAAGTCTTATCATACATATGTATCAGTCATGTCCTCTTTATATATCAT